GATGACGTGGTGGCAAGAATTTCTGCTGCAGTGTGCAATGCACTTAGAAATTCTTAGCAACAGGTACGTCTTAAGGCAGATCACTGGCGGTGTGTTGTCTTCTGAAATGTTGAAATGTCTTGTCGTTGTTATTTCCTAGTTCAAAAATAGAAGGAAGTCTTCCGAAATATTTACTATCCTTTCAGAATAGTAAACAATGAGTTTGAGGGAGTTTGATGCTAGTTTGTACCTGTAATTTATTTCTGGTAGACCTGGACTGCTGCAGACAAAGAAAAAACTCTTGTGGTCACTTGAGACTTGTAAATAGGAATTTTGGACTTCTTTCAATTTTTTAACTAGGAAATAACAACAACAACAAGACATTTCAACATTTTGGAAGACAACACACCGCCAGCGATCTGCCTTGAGACGTACCTGTTGCTGAGAATTTCTAAGTGCATTGCACACTGCAGCAGAAATTCTTGCCACCATGTCATCGTTGGAAGCCATGTTGAGAGAGATTGACGTTGAGTGTTGGTCTGGCCGGGGCTTGAACCCTCGACCTCCCGCACAACAGTCCAGTGCTCTATCCATCGAGCTAACCGGGAAGCGGTTAACTCATTGTAGCAAATGAGCGGGAACACAGGCCACGTGGTTGTTATGTCTCCATACCAAATTAGGTAAATAACCAATTTTGCGCTAAATAACCAATTTTCCATGATTTTGGTTATTTAGCAAATAACCCATTTTCAGTTTTGGTTATTTACAAATAACCAATTTCTGGTTTTGGTTATTTAGCACATAACCAATTGTCAGTTTTGGTTATTTACAAATAACCAATTTTCAGTTTTGGTTATTTAGCAAATAACCAATTTTCAGTTTTGGTTATTTACAAATAACCAATTTTCAGTTTTGGTTATTTAGCGAATAACCACTTTGAAATTTTGGTTATTTAGCAAATAACCAAAACATGAATTTGGTTATTTAGCAAATAACCACATTCTTGTTTTGGGTATTTGCTAAATAACCACTGTCTCGTTTTGGTTATTTATAAATAACCAATGTCTCGTTTTGGTTATTTATAAATAACCAACCTGCTATGTGGTTATTTACACATAACCATACTTGTTTTGGTTATATACCAATAACCACTCTAAATAATAAAAATACATTTGGTGCCCCATAGGAAAATCCCATTAAAAATTCTGGACTTTCCAGGTTCCAATAGGATTCCTGGATATACGGACGTCATTCTTATTATGTAAAATAGCCCAAGAAACTCTGCAATATCAGCCGTTGTGACAAATAACATCATTTTTAATTGATCCCAAAATGAAATTATACAATATTCTGTAGCTAATACTTTCAATACATTAGTCTTGTGAACATTACCTACTTTGTTTACACAGCTAATTCATAATAATTATGAGATGAATACAGCTTACCTTCGTGAACATGTAAACAAGCTTAACAGGCACCGTTTCCTTGTCGTTAGAACACACTGTAAGCAAAGATAAAATGTGGGACTGTGCAGGAAAAGATACGTTTAATTGTTTATTTTTGTTATATTTCAGGGTCAAATAGGTTTAAAACTGGGTACAAACCTTTCAAGGTTGAACGAGTTTTTAGAAATGTCCAACATGGTCGCCGACGAGAGATTANGTTGTGAGACGGTTTTCAATTACCCAACCGTTTGGAAGGTGACAACGCTGGAAGAGGCAAGGATGTTGGGGGGAGGGGTGGGAGGTGGGAGAGACTCCCCCCCTGAATGGAGTTCGCCTTTTCAGAACAAGGAACCTGGAAAGAGTGCGTGCACACCACTTACAAGAGTGATTTACAGTCGAAGCAGTTACATGAATTAAGTAGTATATCAATTCTTCATTCAGTAAAGTTCATTTCAGTACAAAAATTAGATAGAAGACAAGAAATAGTTAAAATCTTCATTTTATTGCAATGAATTAAAATTTACAATTTTTCGTCTTTTTTTAGTTTAGTTGCCTTGGCGACTGTTTGAGGAACTGTAAAATCGCGGTTTTCATGGTGATATCGTTAATTTACTGTTCCCCAAGAACTAAAAGAAATAAGATGCAGCATACCAAGGGATAATGTTTCTTCACGTAGAAATTTCGTCAAGCTCTAAGGACGGTGCCTTTCTTTTCCAGATGCGTTAGCTGACATCCATAAGTGTCGATTAATTTCAAATAAACCTACGCCAAACTGATCCTTTCCTAACGCGAACTGACTCTTTTGTCATACTTATCAAGACCTTCGATTCTTTTGCAGATCAACAGAAAAAGTAAGTGGAGTGCAGGACTTCGTTGATGTCAAAATCACCTGAAAGATTGTAAAAAAGAGAAATTAGAATTACAGCACAGAGAAAAAAAGCCATCTTTCCAATGATAGCACTCTAACTGTTAGGCCACTGGAAAATTTTCGACCGGAGCAGGGATAGGGTGAGGTACAAACAAAGAGAATTAGTGCTAGGAAAAATTGTTCCCCTCCCCCCTCTCTTTCCCAGATAAGAAAAAAAGATGCGGGTGGCCCAAAGAGAAAGCGTGCTCTTGAACAGGAGTCAAGATGATAATCATTGTTGATCATTGTTGATCACTGTTGATCATTGAAGAATCATGATCGCGTACAATAGAACTTAGAAACAAAATCATCACTATAACGCTTTTTGGCAATTGTATCAGAATTATGTCTGTGATGCTGTTCTAAAACTTACCAAGTTCTGGTCTGCCATCCAATGATACGCGCGTTCTTTCCACTTTCGAATTTTTCGATTTCAACGGACGATTAAGCCTGCAACAAAAGCTCCGTGCTTAAGAAACTTCAAAATAATCATAATAAAAAAATTCCTGTCCCAATGTAGACAACGAGAAGTCCCTTATTTTCGGCGAAGTTCGTCAAGTAAGTTAAAAAAAAAAAAGAAAAGTCAGGAAAAAAAGATGATATTAAAGAGCCTCACTTACAAAGTTCCAGGAGACGCGCTAACATCAATTTTTTTCCTTGACTTTTTGCACTCGAGCGACAGTCTTCGCCAAAAAGGAGGAACTGCTTGGAGTCCAGTTCCATTGTTACACGTTCAGCTACGCAACAAGACAGTCACGAATTCTACGAGTTAACGCAGTTCTTCAGGCTTTAACCTTAGATTGATAACACCCTGCAGAGTAGGACACGAATCAGGAAGAAACAGTTATCAACTTACTTCAAATTGGCGTAATTCTTCTCGAAATGGTTTTGAAGTTCCTCGAGGATGGGTTCCCTGTGGAGAGCGACAAACTGCTCGCGGCAAATCTGTAAATGGGAAAACGATTATCAGTCAGTCAATCAATCAATCAAATAATCAAACAGTTAGTCAATTAATTAATACACCAGGTTGACCGTCAGTCATGCTTTCACTCAGTTCGTCCATCAGAAAATAATTCAAATAGGGGCACCAATAAATTAGTTACAATAAGAATATATAACAATACACCAAAACGACTAAGCAAAACGTTTTCCGACAAACTCGTATCCACAGTAAAATCACCTTAAAAACAGACGCGATGAAGAAGGACAACAGAACGATATACACTACACTTGCTCAAAAGGAGCTACAAAGGACTGGAACGCATACTGTCTTACAGCCCTATTTACAGTCAGGTTTAATAAATCTACATCTCTTTTTCGAGAGCAGTGTATAGAGATAAGATTACCATCCCAAACACATCTGGTACTCCGTGCTCGCATGTTCAGGTAGCTCTAACATGCGCGTTTAAT